CAAAACAGCTGTATCCGCCCATGTATTACTATTTCATTTCAGCCAAGGTAATATGGTTCATTGAGTTCTATGAATTGTACATGTTACAACGTCAAGTTTGTCTGCCAAACCCTGCTTGCTTCGTTACCAATTTATATATAATGTTAAATTATGATCATTCATGCATAACACCATACGAAACATCCCCATCTCCTGTGGCTGGGAAAAGCCTTGGCGCTAAGTTAAGTTGTTTCCAGATATTTCAAACAATTTTATTACATGTGTCGCTAAGGGAATAGAACCGAAGTGCATAGAAGAGGAACATCCTGTGTGTTCAGGAAATCAACAGACAATTTTGCACTGTGGCAAAAACGCAGCATGTACAGGTGATCATTTCAACTGGTAGAAACAAACACGTCCCTGCAACTGCCTAACTGCGTCCACGGGTTTCGTGAGCAATGATTTGTTTTCAAGCTCAAGCAGGAACACATATACCATAGTTCGGCAGTATAGTTCAATGGGATCACGTGTCTTGTTTCCTGGAAAACGACTGTGAACGAGAGTTTTAGAACGCAGTACAATGTGTGTTTTGTGAGCGACTGTGTTGAAGGTGATCACGTGATCCACAGGGACAATGGAGACGATCTTTACTGGAGTGTAAACAGCTAAAGTGCTAGCGCCGTATTACAAAGACTGTGTGTCTGTCATTCAATGCGTTGTACAGGGTGTCAAACGCTGAACGAGATATATGTCAGGTTTGATTTCATATGTAGATTCATTAATAGAAATACTTTATAATTTATGGATTTATAATTAACAAATGTAACATGATTATCCGCATTTAACACACCACATGTTTTTGTCTAAAGTATAATTCCTGACGCTGCGAATAGTGTATTTGATAGGACCGCAGCGTCAGGTAACAGACATATGCACTAACCATATTTAATATCTGACTGATACCACTTATATACACAGTTAGTTTCAATCACCAGACTGTTACCGTTGCCATACCAGTTTCATTAAATTGAGAAATATTTTTCACAGACTGCCAGATGCTAAGGCTCTGTCATTGGGTAACAAAACTGTCGCAATGCATGTCCTGATTATTTACTTTTACAACGACCCAGGAAACAGGTTTAAGAAAGATTTATCAAATGTGCTCTCAATTGGTTTAGTATAATGTGGTCAGTTAGCGATCCGTGTGAGAAGTCAGGATGGTGATAGATGTTTCACAGAGTTATTTCCACGTTTTGTCTCTGTACAAATTTAAGCGTCAGTAAACAATCTAAATAAGTTATGGTTTAACCCAGCTGAGTGAATACGAAATGTTTAACACATGACACAAAACAGATTTATTTAAGGATTGGAGTTGTATTTGTTGATAAGGAAGAGAATATATGGATGTCAACTTCTTCTTTTTATGAGGAACACAACGTTTCGGAGTGAATGCTTACTCCTTCATCACCTGATATTTGCAAACATATCACTCTTCCTTATGTGTATCACTTCTAAATGACTTTCAAAGACCTGCTAATTGTTGATGTTCATCGGGTGACGTGAGCACACTGCATGATGCGCGAAGCTGTTGAACGTCACCAAACACAGCTTCAATCCGTATATTGACAGATAATTTAATCAAAACAAACAAATCCATTTAAACACTAAACTTTAATAATTTAAAGCGAACTGTATAAACGTGGAGAGTTGCATTTGTTGTAGCACCATCCGTCTCAAAACAATCCATTGGGAATTAGGGCCCTTGGTTGTACATAAGTCAAAAGTCATTAAATGATCCTATGGCAATGTCAGTCACTTGAAATAGAATTAATATTATGTTTGAAACAAAAAGATGAAATAAAACCAGGATTACGTCTGTTCATCTATTTTGAATAGGCGTTTGATACGGTATCAAAACAATTTTAAATAAAGTTTTACAAAAACATGGATTAGGACCAGAAATGATAAGATGAAGAAATAAACTAACTGACGATGCTACATCAAGCATAATACAAAATGGGCATCTGTCAGAATTTTTCGTCCTAGTAGCTGAAATCCTAGGATGTATGAATAGAAAAAATATTAAAATTGAAGGGATTACAGTCAATGACAAAGAATACAAACTTGGCCACTATGCTGACGATACTGAATTAGTTTTAATTAATAAAGGCGAAAGCATATATGCAGCTATAGAAACACTTAATAAATTCTATAAAATATCTGGAATACAAATTAATGTAGACAAGACAAAAGCAATATGGATAGGCTCAAGATCGGGTAGCAATGATCGATTTTGTTAAGATTTACAAATAAAATGTTACAATAATGAATGTGAAGTATTAGGACTTATGTTTAATCCAAATTAGGTGAACTCTAGGTAATCAATACAAAAAGAAACTAGATGAAATAAATAGGTTGCTTGAAAATTTGAGAAAAAGAAATCTAATGCTAATAGGAAAAGTAATAGTCATAAAAACTTAAGCTTTGCTAAAACTTTCAGATATTTTCGACTCTACCAACCCCTCCTGAGGACTTTGTCTTATAACTTGAAAAGATATTTTACAATTTTATCTGGAATAACTAAAATGACAAATCAAAAGGACCACATTGACAAAAAAATATGAGGACGCAAGATTAACCATGATTAAAATTAGAGCAAAACCAACATAATTATATTAACCCTTGTAATATCCCAATTAAAGATATACTCTCTTTTGATGCTGATGTTGACGAGCAATCTCATGTAAAAAGGAATATTGGATAGATGTCTTGAAAGTTTGGAACAACTTTACAAAAATATTATAAATGTTGATAATATAGTAGAAATGCTGTCCCAACCATTATGGCTTAATCACAACTTCTTCTACATGGAATTATCTACACAAAGAAGGAACTATTAAAAATGAATCTTGTTGACAATAGTGTTTGTAGCTTTTGTAATGCTGTCAATGAGGACATAAGCCATGTCTTTTGGGAATGTCATGAAACTAAACAATGTTATATGGTCTTGAACTTTGGCTTAACAATTATCTAAACAAAAAATTAAATTGAAAAAATATCTTATTTGGTTTGGTTCTAACAACTCTAATACTTCAATAAATAATTTACTTTTATTGGGAAAATGGCATATTCATGTCAGTGGAATCAAAGGAACCAAACCCCAAAATTAGAAAAAGTTTTAAACTTAAGAACTTATTTTCGATCGAGACATTTATTGCTATAAAAAAGGATGACAAAAATAACGTTAACAAAAAATGGTTACTTTTATTCTCAACATTTTGTTCTTAGCTCTGCTGATACATGCTATGTTTGAGTATGATTGTGTGTTGCAACCATTTTGGTTCGAAATATGAACTTGTTTCCAACTCTTTAAATTCTTAAAGAGTGTATTGTGTCATTCAATGCAATCCGAAATATGTTTTTGACGGAATACTGTATTAATCTACAATAATAAAAGTTTGACAAAAAGGGGAAAAATAGCATTCAATGTGGGACGGGAACAAAGTGGTAACTTCCCTCATGTGGGCATAGAACTTGCCAGTCAGCAGAATGCAATTTTGATAAAACAAGAAAATTATGTTGACAATCTCAATTTCATCCCTCTTGATAAAGAAAGAGCATCTCAGTGTGATTCATAAACTGACAGTAGCCGATATAAATGTTTATTGATCAAAAGTGGGACAGATACTTTGGGTTGGTAGACAGAGTAGACCAGACATCATGTGTGATGTGTTTTGCAGTTTGGCATCCTCCATAAAGAAGGCTCGTCCTCATTCACTATGTTAAAAGTCCTTGATGGTGGTGTGGGGCACCATCACAATGGAAAGACAAATAATGTACACACATGAGCTATGGTATGGAACTGTCTCAAATATATGTTGACAAGTGTGCAAGGGCATGCCTCTGTCATCTCAAATTACACCAAGCTAGCAGTTGTGTGAAGACCATGTTTTCACCCTGGATATCGAGCCTAGGCCAATTTTGGAAGCTCGGCCACTGTTGCTGCTTAGTGTATATAGTTTTACTGACTGTATTTTATATAACCATTAAATCGTGTAAAGCCACTCGATTGTGTTATGCAACTGTAGTGAATATAGTTTTACTGACTGTATTGTATATTACCATTAATTTGTTTAAAGCCATTCGATTGTGTTATGCCGCTGTAATTAATTTGAAGTAAGTTGTTTTAATTTGTAAATCTGTTTATTTTTCTAATACGATGTTATTTTTTTACATTTCTTTTCTTGAGTGTTGGTTTCACACTGAATTATTT